ATGAGTGACCATCTACCGTGGTATGAGTGACCATCTACACCTGTATAAGTGACCATCTACCGTGGTATGAGTGACCATCTACACCTGTATAAGTGACCATCTACCGTGGTATGAGTGACCATCTACACCTGTATAAGTGACCATCTACAGTGGTATGAGTGACTATCTACCATGGTATAAGTGACCATCTACACTGGTATGAGTGACCATCTACAGTTGTATGAGTGACCATCTACTGATGTATGAGTGACCATTTACCACTGTATGAGTGACCATCTACACTGGTATGAGTGACCATCTACTCCTGTATGAGTGACCATCTACTGATGTATGAGTGACCATCTACACCTGTACGAGTGACCATCTACACCTGTATGAGTGACCATCTACACCTGTATGAGTGACCATCTACACCTGTATGAGTGACCATCTACCCCTGTATGAGTGATCATCTACCCCTGTATGAGTGATCATCCACACCTGTATGAGTGATCATCTACCCCTGTATGAGTGACCATCTACACCTGTATGAGTGACCATCTACACCTGTATGAGTGACCATCTACACCTGTATGAGTGATCATCTACCTCTGCATGAGTGACGATCTACACCTGAATGAGTGACCATCTACTCCTGTATGAGTGACCAACTACTCCTGTATGAGTGACCATCTACCATGGTATGAGTGACCATATACCGTGGTATGAGTGACCATCTACCGTGGTATGAGTGACCATCTACACCTGTATAAGTGACCATCTACCGTGGTATGAGTGACCATCTACACCTGTATAAGTGACCATCTACAGTGGTATGAGTGACTATCTACCATGGTATAAGTGACCATCTACACTGGTATGAGTGACCATCTACAGTTGTATGAGTGACCATCTACTGATGTATGAGTGACCATTTACCACTGTATGAGTGACCATCTACACTGGTATGAGTGACCATCTACTCCTGTATGAGTGACCATCTACTGATGTATGAGTGACCATCTACACCTGTACGAGTGACCATCTACACCTGTATGAGTGACCATCTACACCTGTATGAGTGACCATCTACACCTGTATGAGTGACCATCTACCCCTGTATGAGTGATCATCTACCCCTGTATGAGTGATCATCCACACCTGTATGAGTGATCATCTACCCCTGTATGAGTGACCATCTACACCTGTATGAGTGACCATCTACACCTGTATGAGTGACCATCTACACCTGTATGAGTGATCATCTACCTCTGCATGAGTGACGATCTACACCTGAATGAGTGACCATCTACTCCTGTATGAGTGACCAACTACTCCTGTATGAGTGACCATCTACACTGGTATGAGTGACCATCTACCCCTGTATGAGTGACCATCTACTCCTGTATGAGTGACCATCTACACTGGTATGAGTGACCATCTACACTGGTATGAGTGACCATCTACACTGGTATGAGTGACCATCTACACTGGTGTGAGTGACCATCTACTCCTGTATGAGTGACCATCTACACCTGTATGAGTGACCATCTACACCTGTATGAGTGACCATCTACCATGGTATGAGTGACCATCTACCCCTGTATGAGTGACCATCTACCCCTGTTTGAGTGATCATCTACCCCTGTATGAGTGACCATCTACCCCTGTATGAGTGATCATCTAACCTTGTATGAGTGACCATCTAACCTTGTATGAGTGACCATCTAACCTTGTATGAGTGACCATCTAACCTTGTATGAGTGACCATCTAACCTTGTATGAGTGACCATCTAACCTTGTATGAGTGACCATCTACACCTGTATGAGTGACCATCTAACCCTGTATTACTGATCATCTACCCCTGTATGAGTGACCATCCACCCCTGTGTGAGTGACCATCTACACATTGAGTAGATCAGGCATGAACCTCTAACTATACTGATGCTGCTCGGACACGGGTGCAGATGGATTTTTACACACACACACACACACAAAACCGGCAGATTATCAGCGGAACATGTGTTATTGGATCCGAGACCGAGCTTTCTCAGACTGACCGAAACGCTTAGTGGACCCTTGTGCACGTTAAAGATACTCTAGAGGTGGATGTTAAATTCAGGCGCCGGAGTATGTACTGTATGTACCGACTGTGTGAACATACTGTATGTACTGACTGTATAGGCCGACTGTCCAACTGTATGTACTGACTGTATGAGCCGACTGTATGAGCCGACTGTATGAGCCGACCGTATGAGCCGACTGTATGAGCCGACCGTATGAGCCGACTGTACCGACTGTATGTACGGAATGTATGTACCGACTGTATGTACCGACTGTATGAGCCGACTGTATGTACGGACTGTATGTACCGACTGTATGAGCCGACTGTATGAGCCGACTGTATGAGCCGACTGTATGTACGGACTGTATGAGCCGACTTAATGTACCGACTGTATAAGCCGACTGTATGAGCCGACTGTATGTACCGACTGTATGGGCCGACTGCATGTACCGACTGCATGTACCGACTGTATGTACCGACTGTATGTACGGACTGTATGTACCGACTGTATGTGCCGACTGTATCAGCCGACTGTATGAGCTGACTGTATGAGCCGACTGTATGTACGGACTGTATGTATCGACTGTATGAGCCGACTGAAGGAACGGACTCTATGTACGGACTGTATGTACCGACTGTATGAGCCGACCTAATGTACCGACTGTATAAGCCGACTGTATGAGCCGACTGTATGTACCGACTGTATGGGCCGACTGTATGGGCCGACTGCATGTACCGACTGCATGTACCGACTGTATGTACCGACTGTATGTACAGACTGTATGTACCGACTGTATGAGCCGACTGTATGTACCGACTGTATGAGCCGACTGTATGAACCGACTGTATGTAACGATTGTATGTACCGACTTATGTACGGACTGTATGTGCCGACTGTATGTACCACCTCTATGAGCTGACTAAGTACCGACTGTATGAGCCGAGTGTATGAGCTGACTGTATGAGCCGACTGTATGTAACGACTGTATGAGTTGACTTACGACCAGCTCCAGATATAAAACCTTACAACTCAAACAGAAATTCCCGTTTTTGTAAGGTTGTGTGTGTGTGTGTGTGTGTGTGTGTGTGTGTGTGTGTTATGTGTTATATATATATATAACACACAGGCATATTACATAAGGCACAGATGCATACAGACACACATACAGACACAAATGCAAATACACACAGACACGCAGACACACAAACATCCATATAGACACACACAGACATACACAAGGCACATATGCATACAGACACACATACATACATACATACATACATACATACATACATACATACATACATACATACATACATACATACATACATACATACATACATACATACATACATACATACATACATACATACGGACACACACACACACATACATACACAAGGCATAGATGCAAACAGATACACACATTTACATATAGACACACACACAGGGACACACTTAAATACACACACAAACACATGCAAAGACACACAGACAGATACACACAAAATGAACACTTAGACACAAACATGTATACATACATACACACAGATACATGCACACACACACACATATATATACATACATACAGACATAAAGACACATACATGCACACGCAGACTGACGCAAAAAAACAGGCAGACAGAAACTTACACACACAAAGACGCACACACCCTGACATATATATACACAGAAACCAACATACTGACACACATATACATGCAGACATGTACATAACTGCACTGTCGGTCATACACACATTTTCAATATCACCATAAATACACAAACACCCAAACCTACAAAAACAACCGTACATACAAGGCACACAATTACCCACGCACACTCATACATACACAGGATCATACATAAAAACACGCCTACATAAACACATATACATGTCACACATATATACACACCTTTTTAATTAATAAACTGATAATGCAATAAGGATTTTAAACTATATGTAAGGTGGCACAGTCACTCGTAAGCATGAAATGAAACAAGTCTGCGGTTAAATGAATAGGAATTCCATTAACAATAATAATTCAACACGTGGTCTCCTGATAGTGTAACCACGTCTGTTACAATGATTTGATGACTTCCAATCAAAAAGCTCTATCTTTCACTAACATGTGTCAATCAATCATCCTAGGTAATTATGTGTTAGCTGCAACGACAGCAACGGTATTCGCCCGAGACATGACTTAGAACTGAACTAGGGTGGCTCGGACGGCAGGTCAACGATATCACGGAACCACTGACTGTAAACACGAAAACCCACATCACCAAACAAGATATCTATAGCGCCATATCCGTGGCACAACAACGAATCTCCAACAACAATACCTACATCAGAAAGACGTCTAGTCATACAAGAACATCATAAACATTTGCTTGGGAAAAGAATTCCCTAGAAATGAATTCAAATTGCCAGGACAAACACTCACAGAGGTGGAGCAGAGCCCAGTAATCTGCGCGCTTTGTACCTGCTCACTTCCGTGTGGTAAACAGTCAGGAAAGGGGGCCGGCTGGTAGGGAGAGCGATTATTAGCTCTACCTGGGACCCATCTGGTCAGACCAGTAAATGAGGACTCTTTCTTTATTTTCTCCCCCCCCCCCCCCAAAAAAAAAAAAAAAACATGTCCACACAAAACATGTCCACACAAAACACGCGCACACAAAACATGTCCACACAAAACAACACAAAACATGTCCACACAAAACATGTCCACACAAAACATGTCCACACAAAACATATACACACAACTATTGAGGAACTCCAACCTGTTGACATTTGCTCTCACATTAGCGAATGTGAAGCAGCACCAGTCTGAGAAGAGAGTAGGAGCAAGAAGAGAAAGAGGATTAAAATAGGAGAAGACTGTGCGGAGAATACGGAGGAAACAGGAGGAAAAGGGAGAGGAGGAGGAAAAGGAAGAAACGAAGATACTTACCATAATCATCAACAAAGATTTGGTTGTCCTCAAGGTCAAGGTGCTTGGAATTGAGGTCATAGGTCGGGTTGGACACTGCCGTGGTCTCCTTGTCAGTCGGCGGCGGCGAGGCAACAACAGACTGGTTGGCTTGGGCTGGGGAGCAGACATCAATTCTTGCTGTTATATACGGGTGTTGTTGTTACACTGTTGTTGTTGTTACACTGTTGTTGTTGTTACACTGTTGTTGTTACACTGTTGTTGTTACACTGTTGTTGTTGTTGTGACACTGTTGTTGTTGTTACACTGTTGTTGTTGTTACACTGTTGTTGTTTTACCGATGCTGTTATGTTGCTGTTATTGCTACTCTTGCACACGATGGCCCTGTTGCCAATCAAAGAACTGATAAACTTGTTGGTTCTGCCACACTTGCAGATGATCAGCAAATACATCTCCCCAAAAGTGTTAATGTCCTTAACGAGAGAGAGAGAGAGAGAGAGAGAGAGAGAGAGAGAGAGAGAGAGAGAGAGAGAGAGAGAGAGAGAGAGAGAGAGAGAGGAGAGAGAGACAGACAGACAGAGAAATAACGAAAAAACGGTCCGAAGCTTCTGGGGCCTGGATATTGCTGTTCTGAATGAGAAACTCGAGTTTAAAGATCGGGTCAGCCAGGCAGGAGAGGCATACTGGACAGTTCTGTCAAACTCTGACCTCCTGCTTTGCTACAGCCCCAATCAAACTCTGACCTCCTGCTTTGTTACAGCCCCAATCAAACTCTGACCTCCTGTTCTGTTACAGCCCCAATCAAACTCTGACCTCCTGCTTTGTTACAGCCCCAATCAAACTCTGACCTCCTGCTTTGTTACAGCCCCAATCAAACTCTGACCTCCTGCTTTGCTACAGCCCCAATCAAACTCTGACCTCCTGCTTTGTTACAGCCCCAATTAAACTCTGACACCCTACTTTGCTACAGCCCCAATCAAACACTGACCTCCTGCTTTGCTACAGCCCCAATCAAACTCTGACCTCCTGCTTTGCTACAGCCCCAATCAAACTCTGACACCCTACTCTGTTACAGCCCCAATGAAACACTGACCTCCTGCTCTGCTACGGCTGCCAATTATTTAAGACAAGGAGAAATCTGTACAAGCGACATTGCCAGAGAAGAAATGTGTGGACACAAAACATGGGCGTTATGTGCCAATAACAAACAATCGATTCAAATACTAGAAACGCCAAGCAAACATTTCAAACAAAAATTCAAGGCCAAGTAATCAGCTAGTATCGATCCAAAGAATAAATTTCGATACCACCTGTCGGCAATGAACTAAATTTCCGCACCCGCCATTTCCCTGATTTGTTTAGTTCTCTGTACCCTCCCACACTAGGCCTTGTTGTTTGCAAACTTCACGTTCTGATACAATAATTTTTTCTTACACCAAAGAAACCCAAAAAATCCCCAGTCTAGTCCACTGTTTCAGTGGTGGGTTATACGCCATCATTCTCTGTGTTTTTTAATCATCATTCTCGGTGGTTGTTTTTATTTAATCATCATTCTCATTGGTTGTTTGTATTTAATCATCATTCTCAGTGGTTGTTTTTATTTAATCATCATTCTCAGTGGTTGTTTTTATTTAATCATCATTCTCAGTGGTTGTTTTTATTTAATCATCATTCTCAGTGGTTGTTTTTATTTAATCATCATTCTCAGTGGTTGTTTTTATTTAATCATCATTCTCAGTGGTTGTTTTTATTTAATCATCATTCTCAGTGGTTGTTTTTATTTAATCATCATTCACAGCGTGGTTGTTTTTATTTAATCATCATTCACAGCATGGTTGTTTTTATTTAATCATCATTCACAGCGTGGTTGTTTTTATTTAATCATCATTCTCAATGGTTGTTTTTATTTAATCATCATTCTCAGTGGTTGTTTTTATTTAATCATCCTTTTCAGTGGTTGTTTTATTTAATCATCGTTCTCAGTGGTTGTTTTTATTTAATCATCATTCTAAGTGGTTGTTTTTATTTATTCATCATTTTCAGCGTGGTTGTTTTTATTTAATCATCATTTTTAGCGTGGTTGTTTTTATTTAATCATCATTCTCAGTGGTTGTTTTTATTTAATCATCATTTTCAGTGTGGTTGTTTTTATTTAATCATCATTTTCAGCATGGATGTTTTTATTTAATCATCATTCTCAGTGGTTGTTTTTATTTAATCATCATTCCCAGTGGTTGTTTTTATTTAATCATCATTCTCAGTGGTTGTTTTTATTTAATCATCATTCTAAGTGGTTGTTTTTATTTAATCATCATTCCCAGTGGTTGTTTTTATTTAATCATCATTCCCAGTGGTTGTTTTTATTTAATCATCATTTTCAGCGTGGTTGTTTTTATTTAATCATCATTCTCAGTGGTTGTTTTTATTTAATCATCATTCCCAGTGGTTGTTTTTATTTAATCATCATTCCCAGTGGTTGTTTTTATTTAATCATCATTTTCAGCGTGGTTGTTTTTATTTAATCATCATTCCCAGTGGTTGTTTTTATTTAATCATCATTCCCAGTGGTTGTTTTTTTTAATCATCATTCCCAGTGGTTGTTTTTATTTAATCATCATTTTCAGCGTGGTTGTTTTTATTTAATCATCATTTTCAGCGTGGTTGTTTTTATTTAATCATCATTCTCAGTGGTTGTTTTTATTTAATCATCATTTTCAGCGTGGTTGTTTTTATTTAATCATCATTTTTAACGTGGTTGTTTTTATTTAATCATCATTCTCAGTGGTTGTTTTTATTTAATCATCATTCTCAGTGGTTGTTTTTATTTAATCATCATTCTCAGTGGTTGTTTTTATTTAATCATCATTCTCAGTGGTTGTTTTTATTTAATCATCATTCTCAGTGGTTGTTTTTATTTAATCATCATTCTCAGTGGTTGTTTTTATTTAATCATCATTCTCAGTGGTTGTTTTTATTTAATCATCATTCACAGCGTGGTTGTTTTTATTTAATCATCATTCTCAGTGGTTGTTTTTATTTAATCATCATTCTCAGTGGTTGTTTTTATTTAATCATCTTTCTCATTGGTTGTTTTTATTTTATCATCATTCTCAGTGGTTGTTTTTATTTAATCATCATTCTCAGTGGGTTTTTTTATTTAATCATCATTCTCAGTGGTTGTTTTTATTTAATCATCATTAACAGCGTGGTTGTTTTTATTTAATCATCATTAACAGCGTGGTTGTTTTTATTTAATCATCATTCTCAGTGGTTGTTTTTATTTAATCATCATTCCCAGTGGTTGTTTTTATTTAATCATCATTCTCAGTGTTTTTTTTATTTAATCATCATTCTCAGTGGTTGTTTTTATTTAATCATCATTTTCAGTGGTTGTTTTTATTTAATCATCATTCTCAGTGGTTGTTTTTATTTAATCATCATTCCCAGTGGTTGTTTTTATTTAATCATCATTCTCAGTGTTTTTTTTTATTTAATCATCATTCTCAGTGTTTTTTTTTTATTTAATCATCATTCTCAGTGGTTGTTTTTTTTTAATCATCATTAACAGCGTGGTTGTTTTTATTTAATCATCATTAACAGCGAGGTTGTTTTTATTTAATCATCATTCTCAGTGGTTGTTTTTATTTAATCATCATTCCCAGTGGTTGTTTTTATTTAATCATCATTCTCAGTTTTTTTTTTTATTTAATCATCATTCTCAGTGGTTGTTTTTTTTTAATCATCATTCTCATTGGTTGTTTGTATTTAATCATCATTCTCGGTGGTTGTTTTTATTTAATCATCATTCTCAGTGGTTGTTTTTATTTAATCATCATTCTCGGTGGTTGTTTTTATTTAATCATCATTCTCAGTGGTTGTTTTTATTTAATCATCATTCTCAGTGGTTGTTTTTATTTAATCATCATTCTCATTGGTTGTTTTTATTTAATCATCATTCTCAGTGGTTGTTTTTATTTAATCATCATTCTCGGTGGTTGTTTTTATTTAATCATCATTCTAAGTGCGGTTTTTTTAATCACCAAACTCAATGTGATTTTTTAAAAATTCCCATGTTTAGTGTTTAATTATTTTTGTTTCAACATTCACAGTGGTTTTTTAAAATCATCATTCTCTGTGTTTGTTAATCATCATTCTCAGTTTTTTTTTTTTCAATCATCATGCTAATGTTTTTTATTTTACCATCATTCTCAGTGATTTTTTTTCTTCTAAATCATCATTCTCTGGAAAAAAAAAAATCCCCAGTATTTTAATTTAACCATTATTCCCAGTAGGTTTTTTTGGAAAAAATTATCATGTTCTGTGTATGTTCGTGTGTGTGTGTGTGTGTGTGTGTGTGTGTGTGTGTGTGTGTGTGTCTGTGTGCGCGCGTTTGTGTGTGTGTGTGTGGGGGGGGGGGGGTCTGTTTGGAAGCGGCACCCGCTCTATTCAGTGACTTGGCCATAAATTTCCTTAAACATGTGTACATCCAGTCCATCAAAGCAGGGGACACTGTTGCACGACCCACCGGCAAGGGACACTGTTGCACGACCCACCGGCAGGGGACACTGTTGCACGACCCACCGGCAGGGGACACTGTTGCACGACCCACCGGCAGGGGACACTGTTGCACGACCCATCGGCAGGGGACACTGATGCACGACCCAAGGGACACTGTTCCACGACCCAGGGGACACTGATTCCACGACCCACCGGCAGGGGACACTGTTCCACGACCCAGGGGACACTTGCACGACCCACCGGCAGGGGACACTGTTGCACGACCCACGGGACAGCTGACAAAAACAACAAGGGAAACAAATACAAATACAGACAGCCGTTGATTTGTGAAATCGGACGTCAGACAATGACAATTGTGGGCTGATGTCACAAGTGCGGGCTGATGTCAAAAGTGCGGGCTGATGTCACAAGTGCGGGCTGATGTCACAAGTGCGGGCTGATGTCACAAGTGCGGGCTGATGTCACAAGTGTGGGCTGATGTCACAAGTGTGGGCTGATGGCACAAGTGTGGGCTGATGTCACAAGTGTGGACTGATGTCACAAGTGCGGGCTGATGTGACATCTGAAGATTCTTATCCTTGGCGTGTTCACCCAACTGACACACTATTCTGGAAGAGAACAACTACCTTTCCTACCCTGTTGCATGATTGGGAATACACCTGTGGCGGTCCATTAGAGATTTTCCGCGGCCCACGTGTCAAAGACAAGCAACAGAGTTGTGGTACTTACCAAGATATTCCTGCAACTTGTCGTACTTAGGGCCGTGGCGGAATCGAACCAGCTTCAGTCTGACCATCTGTCCCGTGTTCTTCAGCACCTCGACCGCTTGATGGTTGGAGTAGCCCTGCAGCGATTTCCCGTCAACCTGGAGAAAGAGAAGCAAATGTTTGCCTGATATGGTAACATCATACACAACATGTTTGCCTGATATGGTAACATCAGCAGCTATCTGTGGCACAAGTCACCAGTGCCCAGCTGTGTACACAACTCAGTTCAGTCAATCTAAAGGACTCCTTTCCACGCCTCTAGACGTTTTGTGCATATAGGGCTAGAATTATCTTTGTTTAGACCCACTGGCATTTAGTGGGTGATGTGATAACCATCTTGCTATGACTCCCCAGGAATGTGCAGCCTACTTACGGCTGGATCGGCATCAGAGAAAAGCTCCAGCATTTCAAAAAAAAAAAAAAAAGGTTGCACACAACTACAGTGTGGTAAAATGCCATCTGTGCAAGATCTTAGATTGTCTAGCTGATAACTGTCTCATCAGTACCAGATATTCGCTTGTCTTGCTGATAACTGTCTCATCAGTACAAGGTCTTCGCTTGTCTGGCTGAGAACTGTCTCATCAGTACCAGATCTTAGTTTGGCTGGCTGAGAACTGTCTCATCAGTACAAGATCTTCGCTTGTCTGGCTGATAACTGTCTCATCAGTACCAGATATTCGCTTGTCTGGCTGAGAACTGTCTCATCAGTACCAGATCTTAGTTTGGCTGGCTGAGAACTGTCTCATCAGTACAAGATCTTCGCTTGTCTTGCTGATAACTGTCTCATCAGTACAAGATCTTCGCTTGTCTGGCTGAGAACTGTCTCATCAGTACCAGATCTTAGTTTGGCTGGCTGAGAACTGTCTCATCAGTACAAGATCTTCGCTTGTCTGGCTGAGAACTGTCTCATCAGTACCAGATCTTAGTTTGGCTGGCTGAGAACTGTCTCATCAGTACCAGGTCTTAGCTTTGCTGGCTGATAACTGTCTCATCAGTACAAGATCTTCGCTTGTCTGGCTGAGAACTGTCTCATCAGTACCAGATCTTAGCTTGGCTGGCTGAGAACTGTCTCATCAGTGCCAGGTCTTAGCTTGGCTGGCTGGGAACTGTCTCATCAGTACCAGATATTCGCTTGTCTGGCTGAGAACTGTCTCATCAGTAACAGATCTTAGATTGTCTGGCTGAGAACTGTCTCATCAGTACAAGATCTTAGTTTGGCTGGCTGAGAACTGTCTCATCAGTAACAGATCTTAGATTGTCTGGCTGATAACTGTCTCATCAGTACAAGATCTTCGCTTGTCTGGCTGAGAACTGTCTCATCAGTAACAGATCTTAGATTGTCTGGCTGAGAACTGTCTCATCAGTACAAGATCTTAGTTTGGCTGGCTGAGAACTGTCTCATCAGTAACAGATCTTAGATTGTCTGGCTGATAACTGTCTCATCAGTACAAGATCTTAGATTGTCTGGCTGAGAACTGTCTCATCAGTACAAGATCTTAGATTGTCTGGCTGATAACTGTCTCATCAGTACAAGATCTTAGATTGTCTGGCTGATAACTGTCTCATCAGTACAAGATCTTAGATTGTCTGGCTGATAACTGTCTCATCAGTACAAGATCTTAGTTTGGCTGGCTGAGAACTGTCTCATCAGTAACAGATCTTAGCTTTGCTGGCTGATAACTGTCTCATCAGTACAAGATATTCGCTTGTCTGGCTGAGAACTGTCTCATCAGTGCCAGGTCTTAGCTTTGCTGGCTGAGAACTGTCTCATCAGTGCCAGGTCTTAGCTTTGCTGGCTGATAACTGTCTCATCAGTACAAGATCTTCGCTTGGCTGGCTGATAACTGTCTCATCAGTACCAGATCTTAGCTTGGCTGGCTGAGAACTGTCTCATCAGTACCAGATCTTAGCTTGGCTGGCTGGGAAATGTCTCATCAGTACCAGATCTTAGCTTGGCTGGCTGAGAACTGTCTCATCTGTAAGTAGGACGCAGTGTATTTAGGATAGCATGAGTATCCGAAAGGGCTTGCATCTAAAATAGTCAGGCGTAGTGTCTTTTCTCCTGCTCTAGTAAACGAGTATCGTCTCCATGGGGACCGGACTGCACAGCTCTCCATCCTGTCAACTACACAAACTCAAGAAGTGTGTCAGACAGGAGTGAACTTCACCGATGGTTAAATATGTGCCACTTTTTACAGCAGAACGTCTGGGAGGAAGACCAAGAAAGAGATGGACAAATAGTGTAATAGAAACCTGCAAAAAGATAACAAATCCATCATCCATCCAAGCCACACGAGAAACGCAAGACAAATAAAGAGAACTATAACACTGGGCTACAACGTGATATCAGTGAGACGACAAAAGAAGAGAGAAAAAAACCTGTGTCACAGAAAGTGACAACAAACTCTAGCACTAATGATGAAATCTATACCACAGAAAGTGACAACAAACTCTAGCTCTAATGATGGAATCTATACCACAGAAAGTGACAACAAACTCTAGCACCAATGATGAAATCTATGCCACAGAAAGTGACAACAAACTCTAGCACTAATGATGAAATCTATGCCACAGAAAGTGACAACAAACTCTAGCACTAATGATGAAATCTATGCCACAGAAAGTGACAACAAACTCTAGCACTAATGATGAAATCTATACCACAGAAAGTGACAACAAACTCTAGCACTAATGATGAAATCTATGCCACAGAAAGTGACAACAAACTCTAGCACTAATGATGAAATCTATACCACAGAAAGTGACAACAAACTCTAGCACCAATGATGAAATCTATACCACAGAAAGTGACAACAAACTCTAGCACTAATGATGAATCTATACCACAGAAAGTGACAACAAACTCTAGCACTAATGATGAAATCTATACCACAGAAAGTGACAACAAACTCTAGCACTAATGATGAAATCTATACCACAGAAAGTGACAACAAACTCTAGCACTAATGATGAAATCTATACCACAGAAAGTGACAACAAACTCTAGCACCAATGATGAAATCTATACCACAGAAAGTGACAACAAACTTTAGCACTAATGATGGAATCTATGCCACTGAAAGTGACAACAAACTCTAGCACTAATGATGAAATCTATACCACAGAAAGTGACAACAAACTCTAGCACTAATGATGAAATCTATACTTGAGAAAGTGACAACAAACTCTAGCACTATTGATGGAATCTATACCACAGAAAGAGATGTCGCATTTTAGTTCTAATGATTAAATCTGTGTCAGAGAAAGAGACATAAAATTATAGTTCTGATATGAAATCTGTGTCACTGAAAGAGATATCAAATTCTGGTTTTAATGATTAGATCTATTTTACAGAAAGAGACATGAAATTCTTGTTCCTATGATGAAACTTGCGAGCACCGTTTGAGCACGTGACTGGCACGATGTGTACAAGCTGGCTGTGTGTGTGTGTGTGTGTGTGTGTGTGTGTGTGTGTGTGTGTGTGCGCGCGCACACACACACACACACACACTCACAGTTACAGAAAACTTAAGCAACCGATAAATAAGCAGGAGTGAAAGACCTTTGGTTGGATAAGTAAAAGAACGAGCCGCAGGCAGTGTGGAATCCAATATTTATCCCGGAAAGACGGAGCGACCAGATGTCGACTCAAACAGATAAACATTCACACAATGACATCAATCAAAACGCGATTACAAGAAAACAGCAAAGATCAATCTAGCAATAGCAGCCTGACGTGGTCAGTGCACACCTTCAGTAAAAACGTGTCATGTAAGAAAATGGTGCTAAAAGTCCAGAAATCTTTACGCTGACACTGACAAGGCAATGTGTGGTTAAAAGCTTGACAAACATGGTTCAACGTGACAATACATACAATTTACATGATCAATATACCGGCTTTTCTTGTCAAACACAATGGTTCTACATATTCGGCTCAACTATTGGCTGCAGGTGCACCAGTCTGGCCTCTCTGCGAAAGATTACATCTGGAGGCATTCGAAGCTTCATTCTGTTACAGTGTGTGCACGGCTTTTTGCAGGACTGGGTCAGTTTTAGTAAATTGGAAGCCCGCTTTCAGACAGACAACTAGACAGACTACCGGTATCCGAGAGATCGCTTTCAAACAGGCAACTAGACAGACTACCGGTATCCGAGAGATGGTGCCCATAAACTGTGACTGAGAAACGCCGAGGACAGATTCGCCTCTCTCAAGGAAAAACGAACAGCATCCACAACAAGAACAGGATACATTTCTGGTTGTTGACTGGTATTTCCCGTGGCAGATCTGATGGATACACGAACTGGCACTTTGATTCTGATACTGTGGAGTAAGTATATATGTAATCTGTCAAGACCATGCTCATAAGTGGACCGAATCTGCTCATCATTGGACTGAGTCTGACAATGTGGACTTGACCTCATAAACACACAGGGAACCCAATAAAACAACCAACATATTGTGAAACCAATGACAATAGATCATAAGCTGTGCACAGATAAACTCCAGAACTGAACCAAACAAATGACATCCGCTGGGCTAGACAACACAATGTCTGACAAATATTGGCTAAATGATGTCTGTTGGACAAGCTAACACAATCGTTGAACCATTAACACAAAAGTATGACTGCTGTACCATGTATTACTTCGCCAACGAGCAATGTACGACTGCTACAGTAAACCCCATTGTTCAAAGCACTGACAATAAATTGCAATAGTGTTTGCACTGAGCTAAACTGCATCGTTTTACCGACAATAATATATCTGTTGCATTCAATAAGAACATCGTTTCACCGACAACAATATATCTGATGCATTCAACAGAATATCGTTTTACCGACAACAATATATCTGATGCATTCAACAGAATATCGTTTTACCGACAACAATATATCTGATGCATTCAACAGAATATCGTTTTACCGACAACAATATATCTGATGCATTCAACAGAATATCGTTTTACCGACAACAATATATCTGATGCATTATACAGAATATCGTTTTACCGACATCAAATATATGCATTCAACTGTTTTGCATTCATACTGAGCATTAACATCGTTTTACCGAAAACAATATATCTGATGCATGCATT